CCCCCAAAACCCCAAAACCCCAAAACCCCTGCCTCTTGATATTCACTTGAAATATTAGGATTGCGATATTTATGATTCTTAAGTTCATGAAAGCCTCAAGTGATGAAGTCTGATTGCTAAATACACTGAAATGATAGAACCATCAACAAGTATACTATAATGGTTTGCCTCTTGCTGCTTAGGAATTGACTAAAGTAATCTCAGGTAGCAGATTCTTGCAATTTTTAACACCATGAAGGCTGTCAGCCAAGCTGTGACTAGTGTAAAAGCAATGATCAGGACAGCTAGCCAAAAGATGTCACCCACCGTTAGCTCCTTTGTTTCGTATATCTCGTCCTAAATGTGCCTAGTATGATTTTTAGCAGGGTATAATTATTATAGACAGGGTTAAAAGAATTTTTCTCGAATGATCTGACTCAAAACATTGCTCACTATTCGACCAGTGTTAATTTTACATGAACCTATAATACAAAAATTATAATATTTAGAAATAAATGGAGGAAGACAAGCAACAAGTCTGTAAATCATAACTTTCGACAAACTTACTTACCGAGCATGCTTACCGGCTCACTAATCTTCTAAAATTACTATTAACCCACTGGTATACCAGCCTCCTTCTGCACAACCCAGAATAAATTCCCACTCAAAAAAATTAGACAGAGCCTCAGGGCTAAAATTCTTAAGATTTTGACTAGTTTTTAAGTTGAGAGCAGATTTTGGAATTTTTTGGGGTTTTAGGGAAGAAATTTTTAGGTGGAATAGGGAATTTTAGGGGGAGGGGTGAGGTGAAGTGGGGTTGGATGTAGGAGAGGGGTTTAGAGACTGTTTGGGGGAGTGAGATTGGTGATTTAGATCTTGGGGTGAGGGAGTGTGAGCCAGAAGGGAAGCTAGTGATGGGGATTTTGGTTCTTAGAGGGGATATGTTAGTTCCTGAATGATTAGAGAAGAGATTCGGTCCTTATTAGTTAGGAAGCATATTTTTTCTTGCTGATGTGGCTTTTAGCTGTGAAATAAATAAGAAATAACAAACATAAACAGGAAAATACTAGGCTTCTTTTATCCTCTTATTTCATTAACTTTGAGACAGAGGTGAGCATCATTCTTCCTATTAGGACAGCATGAATATTTTTGCGATCACAATTTTTATTTCCTCATAAAAATATCCAAATTGAAGGAGTCGAGCCTAGCATTTAGTGAAACTTTCTGCATAAATTTCCAGAAATGAGTGGAATATAACTAGACCTAACCAGAATAGTCAATTGATTATTTCAAAAGTATATTATTACTATTTCCCTAAAGCTGGCCTAAACTAGTCAAATTTCTCGAACAATAACCTCCAAAACGATTCATATCCAAATTACTGACCAACTCTGCTCCAAAATATTTCATATCGAGCACCTTAGAGGGAGTTCCTTATCCAAACGATCACAGATTTCTGACTCTTAAGGAAGGATCTTGATAAGCAACGGGATGTCTGCTCTTCCACCATTTCCTCAGTTACATATCCTTTCTCTGAATAAAGGATTTAAGATAAATATTCGAAAAAGATTGTTTTTCGTAAAATATGAGTTAGGCTAAGCATCAAGATTTATAGAAGACAGCCAAGCTCTGAGACTTCCTCAGGAATTATGACTCATACTTCTGATTGCATATGTACTATTATTGATGGGGTGGCTGTAGTTTGAAACTTGGCATATTTTTATGGCAGAAATTATTCCCCATTCAACTTTTACTCTTTCTACTCCATGGGTTGTCAGAGGGTTATGTTTTAAATAGTTATTTTTTTGACTTCTCGTGTATTTTTAGAGTTGATTGACTTATTTAGACAACAAAATCAAATCAAAGAGGAGCAAAGGATCCAAGCCAATCTCAGTAAGAATTATACTTATCAATTACTCCCATCTTCACTTCTAGAAACAAGTAATTCAAAGTCTCTCGAACCAGCACAAAACCAAAGGTAAATGGAGAAATAGTGAACACATGCAGTTCATCGAGTGTAAGACTGCTCTTCATACCTAGGTTTCAGAAAACACGGCACCAACTGGGACAAACTCGAAAAATCAGTCCCTACCAGAACCAGCCTGCAAGTGAGGGCTCATGCACAGAAGTTCTTCGAGAAAATCACCGACAACTACAAAGTGGACAACCCTGTGGAGTTCTACCTGAAGAACCTCAGGAACCACCAGAGTAAGTTTGTACGTAATATGTAGTGGATCTGGACCACAACATTGAAGAGCAGCTGCAGAATCCCAGAGTCTCAATCATTCAGAAACAAGTGGGTCCCAGGTAAGTCTCAGTGTGACATCATATAGGCATAATGAGGCTGTATCAAATAAAGAGCAAGATGAGTTCACTTTTGAGAGGAATAATGAACATAAGAATCAGCATAAAAGCCTGATCAATAGAAAGAGGACAAACAAACAACTCTTCAAGTCATCAAATAAGCCCTCAGACGAACATGGATCAGGCTCTCTAAGCAAGCCAATGAAGTACCTCAAAGACAGTTCTGGCAACCACCATGACGCATCGACTGGAATCTCATCCAGCTACTTGTGCTTGAATGGAGGTGAAATTTTGATCAAAGGCAACGGCATCAAAACCACAGCTCCATGTGACATCCAGAATATCAGGATGCTCAAGTAAGATCTTTGATTTATCAATAGTGGATCCGAGCAAACTATGATTTGTGCAAATCAGCCTGTACAAATCACAATCACACCAATCTCACAAGGGCAATCCGCTAACAATTCAATTGTGTTCAACCACAACATTGGTTCATTCATACCACCATCTGGATCAGGGATGCCAGAGCCCGACAGAAGGGTGATGTCTTCACAAAGTGACAGCACCAACTACCAGCTCATCATGGGCATTCTAGAGAACAACTACTGTCTCCGAGACATCAGAGGGATGTGTGGGCTAAGCTCTGAATGCAGAGTAAGTTCTTTGACAAGCAGTGGATTGAACCCAAACAACAGAGAAAGCGTGAGTTACCCATCATCATCACCATTCAGAGTGGGCCAACAAGAGAGCAAGCCCTTGAATAGTAACACTAGAAACAACAGAAAGAGCAACTCTGAACCGATGGTTCACAACAGGATGAATAAGAACTTCTTCAAAAATGTAGACTTCCAGGGTAAAAACTCAGAGGGAGAAATAGCTAGCAAGGGATCATCCCAACTCAGTGGCTAATAAAATATATTTCAGAATGAATGTAATAATTTGATATTTACAGTCTCAAAATTACATCTTCTCTTAAACCTCATCCCAACTCGTTAGTATCAAATAAATGCACTCTCAATTTTCTGTTTGTATGTTCAAATCCAAAACGATAATTCAAGCTGAGACTTCCACTCTGGGGTTTTGGGGTTTTGGGGTTTTGGGGTTTTGGGGTTTTGGGGTTTTGGGG